TTTTTTTTTTTTTTTTTTTTTGGTACCAGGGATTCAACTCAGGAACTTGTGCTTTCGAGGTAGGTGGCAGAACCACTGAGCTAAATCCCTGGCCCTTGAACTTTTAACATCACCTGATTTTAACATCATGATCATGAATCTTTGGTGAGATCCACATTTCTTTTCTTTTTTTTTCTGAAATGTTGATGGATTTCTTGCCAGAGGTGAGGGTTGAAGATAGTAGTCTGTACAATTTCAACACCAGTTACCCTACTGTTATGCAAAAATACTAGTACTCTTTTAGGTTATTGGTGTCACAATGTATTAGGCACTTATTTGAGTAGCCCTTTGTTTATATTGTTGTGCAGTTTAAAAAGTAACTGCCATTCTTGTGCCAGGAACTTTATGGAACCACACCTTGTTTTCAGCCTAATACTCTCCTAACTGAACTAGTTCGGCAAAGACAGCACCTTATTTAATCTCAGTGGACCTTATGCCCTACGCCTCCCAACAGATGAGGAAACTGGAAAAGTGAGAAGTTAGAAGCAAGCCTTAGGCTACAGAGCTGAAGAATGGAGTTTACACATGCTTAATTTCATAATATTGTACGTGGATTATCAGGTGTCATATAGAGCTATGGTAATAGTGTTAGTCCTTCAGTGATTTGTCAGTTAACTGCTTCTGAAATATTGGACATAAACTCCTATTCCTATTTCCATGCATATTATAATGAAAAATGTTTTTCTTTATAACACATTCAAATGACATCAAGGTATTAAAACATTTTATGAGGAAGAACTTTTCTTATTCCTGAAGACCTAACTGCACAGGACAGGCAGATTATGATGACAGCATCAAGTGGAAAGTCTGTGTCTGGAAACCAAGGATAGTCTTCTTTCTCATGTTCTAGTCTGGACCGTCCTGTTTACATTGCTTCTGCTCAAGAACAGTAGTGGAATTTGGGCTTCGTATGAAACTCTTCAGAGACAGATTTGGTCCTTTCAGAGTAGTGTGCAGAGTTGGGGATGAAGGAAGATGAAGAGCAGCATGCTGTAGGCTGCTCATCCTGAGGACCAGAATGTGGTGTCTGGGAGCTGCTCGCCCAAGAGCAGGATGAATGGGAGTGTGCAGGAAATGCCAGCTTGCACAGTGGAGTCGTAGCAGAACCAGGCTGTTTCAGTTATACAAATACACATATCAACAGCTTGTATATGTAAAGCATAACATTTTATTTTTAAAAATCCATGTGAGGCATAAAATATATGTTTTTAAAAATCCAGAGAATTTAGAACACCATCACAATAGAAGTACACAGAAGATATTTAGAAATCACCAGGCTTCTCCAGCAAAGGCTGGCTCCTCTGCCCTAGGTTTCCTTTCTGGCTGCATGCTCTAATGCTGTCTGGCAACTGAGCTGTGAGCGTGCACAGTGGAACCGAAGGCCTGAGGCTCATTCCCTGACTGCAGTGCTTTTACCAGCCAGACAAGTCTGTACATCCAAGGAATACAGTATGTAGTAATGTCTGGAGCCATTTTTGTCACACTTGGGGGCAGGGGGAGGGGAAACTAGTACTGTTGGCATACAGCACCATAGGTGGGGCCAGGAATACTCACAACATACTAAAAGGTACAGGACAGCCCCTACAAAGTTACTTGGCTTAAGATGCCAATAATGCTGAAGTAGAGAAACCCTGTTTTGAGGTCCCACTTCAGGAGTGTGTGTATATGTATTTGCTTGTATGTGCTGAGGCCGCAGGGGATTCAGAACTGGACCTAACAATACTGTTACCAACCCAAGATACCAGAATCTCTTCTGAGAGCCAGACTGACCCTCCCTATGACTTCTCCCTCCCTCTGGAAGAGCTAAGTGCACTGGATACCATCTGTGTGGTCTTCAGGCTTCTATTCTTCTAGTTCCTTCCTGAGATTCAGGTGGGCTTTGAAAGGTCGAGTGCTAGGGGCAATAACCAGACTCAGAAGCTGTCATTTTTTACTTCCTGTCATACAGGAAAAAAAAGAACATATTTCTATAGCACAGTGGTGTAAACTGAGGAAGCTGCTCAATAGTGATCAGCTCTGTGGCTCTGGCCTTTCCCAGGGGCAAAGGTATCAATGCTCCCTGCACATGTGCTTCCTCTTCAGGACACACAGGCCTGGAAACTGCATAGAGTACTAGACTTCTTAGTACTAGAAGTACTAGCTATTCCAAGTATTAGTGCTAGAAAAGAACTAAAAAAAATTAAGCAGGAAATTTTGACAGTAACAGATCCTTAGAACTACCAAGAAAACCTGACTTTTTTCCCTTTATATTTTTTCTTCCTTAAAGTGCTTATTAAAGATGCTTCAATTAATTTAAAATTTAACATAATGGAGTGGGGTAGCACATAATTATGAAAGCCTGTAGTGACTGCTAGAACATTTGATACGAAGTTAACAGATCCTACAATTTTCGGATACGCTGTGGTTGTCATTACAAGAAAACATGTGGACAGAACTTAGAATTTTACTGCACTTTGGTTATAAGAGAAGTCTATGTAGAGAACACAAAGTAAGAAAGTTGGTTTGTTTTATATTCACTTTCTTTGTCTCACTGAACCCAAACCCCATGAAACCAAATGAGCAACATATTCGAAGGTTATGGCAGGAGCTGAAGAAAAATGATCTTTCTTGAATACCTCTTTTCCTTTAAAAACTCATGTTTTGGATTGATCCTGCACCATTAAGAGTCTTCCTGCTTGCATTTTCCTGAAAGTAGGTTGTTAGCTAAGATCTCTCTTCACATTCTCTAGCTCTGAGATGCAGGCACAGACACAACCCATGCCAATGAGGACTGAAGTCTGAACGTTTACAGTGGTTCTGCCCTAAAGTGACGCACCTGCTTTGTGCTGCCAAAGGCCCTCAGCATTAATTCTGGCTCGTGTGTATCAGGCCAGTTAGAAGGTCTTTCCTGGAACACTGGTAGAGGGCCGAGGCGAGCTTGCCCACAGTGGCCCCCTTACTACCTTCCCGCATCAGCCACTTCTGGAGCATCTGGTGAACCTTTTCATGTAGTCCATCTCGCTCATAGTCGTGGTCAATTTCATCAATCTGCGACTCCGTGAAGCCCAGTTTACGGGCACAGTTTTTCCATTGCTTTCCCAGGTTTTCTCTGACCGGAGTTAGGTGACTATCAGTCAGACTAGTGGTATTATCTGCCAAATGGAAAAGAGAAGAAGGTCTCAGGCCTCCCCCACTTGGAACATTCTAGTTTCTTGGATTACTGAAAGACTTGAGTAAACTGAAGAGTATGAGAAAGGAGCAAAACAGACAACTTCATACTTGTATAAGAAGTGTTAACTAGCCCATGTGGAAACATCGTGTGCCTTAGAATGGGACCCCCTTTCTTCCTACTCCGAGACACAGCTCATGGCTTTGTGAGCAAAACCCATACATGGCTGCTAAGTTGGGTGTTCTGTTCAACCCTAGCCAGTGGACCAGTTTATGCTAAAGCTTTCCCAGGGGAAAAACAATTACAAATCTTGTTCCATGGGACATTTCCCACCTATTTCTAAGGAGAGTCAATGTCACCTAGCTTCAGAGAGTTCACTTTCCACTCAAACAAGTGTGAGCCTCATTCAGCTATGACTCCTTTTCTTCATCTCTCAAGGCATGAGGTATCCATACTCTCTGAGGTCCATTTTTAGATCCCTCCCTGCCCTTACTTTCCCCTCCTTCCCCTAAACTACTGTCCCCTCTTCTTCTATAGCTATAACCTCTCTCTCCGATTCTACCCCCTTAGCCCTTCATAAGAATAACTAATAAAGGAAACAAAACTATAAAACAACCTCAGACTATCACAGTGTGGTTTCTACTGCCACCACTGGATGTCAGCAGTCCAAGAACCTCTCAGACATCTGTGAACTGTCCGTCTCTTTAGGAGAGGTCCTAGGTTTCATGAGGTTCTCAAAGGCACCACTGGTTTGTCAAAAGTTAAGAACCTCTAAGGCTATTCTTCAGAGGCATTACAATAGGGGTTGGCAAACTGTAGCCTAGGTGCCAAATCTGGCCCCCTGCTAGTTTTTATAAATTCAGTTTTATTGAACACTGCTCTGCTCATCCATGTATGTATTGTCTATAACTACTTTTACATTACAGCATCAGAGCTGAGGAGTTCGAAAAGAGACCTTAGGGTAGATCCTAACACATTACCACCTCGTCCTTGCCAATCTCAAGGTTAGTCAGCTAAGTGCTTAATCACATTATAATCATTATTATTACTTTTACTTTATGTTTACATATACACATTGGTTTTGGCTCTGCCCTCTCCCAAGGTATTGACAGTGAGAAGTGGGGATCGGCATTAAAATCAAATCTTGTTCTCAAAGAAACAGTGAATCAGTGTTTGTTCACAGAAGTGGCATTCAGATCCTCGGCCTGAGAAGGACTGGATGGGCCTTTAAGGAAGGCAGTTGCAAAGGAATGTGGGTAACTTTCTTTTCTAGAAGATGTTTGCCTTTTCTTTTGTAAATGAACTTGGAGAAATAATCTACTTTTACAGGGCCACCACTCCATACAAATTCCAGACCGCATGCTCACAAACTAGAGACAGCACCAAATATTGCGTACACCACTAGGGAGGACTTATAAAGAACAGATGTATCACCCATTGACTCCTTTTCCTGAAAACTGCTTGACTGGCCTTGGAACATGCTGGTAGATCACAGGAGAAAGCGAGGTCAACTGGGAGGTGCACTGTGGCTCTTCATCACATTACTTGGACCTCTTGATGCTTTCCCCAGGCTGTCTCAGTATTAAGGTAATGGGGCTACACAGTGGAACCCCATAGGAGACAGCCCTCTGATTTCTGTTACAAAAATGCTGTTGAGAGCACAGTCTGCTTTACAAATTCCCTTTTGAGGGGAACCTGAGGGAGCTATTTTCCCCAGGTCTTAATAGTAACACTGATGATGGAAATGTAATACTTTCTTAGGTCTTCCTGTATGGTAAGCAGTGTCCTAAGTTCTTTATACCTATTGCCTGATTTAACTGTCACAGCAGAGCTATGAGTTAGATGCTATAATTATCCCCATTAAAAACAAATTACTAAAGATTTATATTGAAATCAGTAGGAAAAATGGGATGTTCAGAGAGACTCACTGGAAAAGTTTAAAGATTCTACTATATCCCATTCAACAAATAAGAAAATTCAAGGCTGCTATACACATTGAGTCTTGTGTTGCTGGGGATTGAACTCAGGGCCTTGCACTCACCAAGCAAATACTGTACCACTGAGCTCCACCCCCCCGGTCCCAACACTGGGTCCTTAACCTGTTCCCATTGTCATGAAACAGTGGTGGTATATGTGACTGTTCAATTGGGCAGCTTGTACTACTGTCCCATGCCACCCAATGGGACAGTCATACATGTACTAGTGGTGGTTCACAGCCACCTGGCAGCGAGACATATGAATTACGACCCCACTGTGAACATATTAAAGTGCATCTTACCAAAGATAGCTTGGTACTTAGAAGCTGACTCTTCTTCTAAGTTGTCCAGTTGTGAACTCATTCCACCAATTTCCATGTAATTATAGGTTCCAATCTGGATGCCAGTACTGTTACTTATGTTGCATTTCATAAGCTCATCTGAATAGAGAGAAACGCACAAGTAATTGTAGCAAGATAAAAGACAGAAGGAAATCCAGCATGATAAAGGACCAGGGCTTACTCCACACATTTAAGTTAAACTAATTATCCTGTGTCACTCCTTAACATTTTCTTTTTCAGATGTAACTACTTCATATCCCCTGGGAGGGCTATTAAAAACGTTGGCAAGAATGTGGGGAAAATGGAGCCTTTGTACAATGCTGGTGGGAATATGAAATGGTGCAGCCATGTGGAAAACAGTATGGAGCTTTCTCAAAAAAATTAAAAATAAGAGGGATAGGGATGTAGCTCAGTGGTGTTGCACCTGCCTCGCAAACACAAGGTCCCAAGTTCAATTCCCAGTACCAGAAACAAACAAACAAATAAATAAACAACAGAAATACTATACTATCCAGTAATTTCATTGCTCCAAAAGAACTGGATGTAGGACTATTTTTACACCCAGCAGCATTATGAATCTTAGCCTTAAAAAAAGGGAATTCTGATATATGCTGTAACGTCCATGAACCCTGAGGACATTTGCTGAATAGGTGAGTCAAAAAAGCAGATACTATATGATTCCACTTATATGAAGCACTTAGAGCCATCAAAGTCACAGGGACAGAAAGTAAAGTGGTGGCTGCCAGGGGTTGAGGGGAGCAGTGGGGTGTTAGTGTTTAATAGGGACAGACTGACTTCCAGTTTGGGAGGATAAGAATGTTCTGGAGATGGACGGTGTAATGGTTGCAAACACTGAATAGTCTTAATGTTTCTGAACTGTCCACTAAAAATGTTTAGGATGGTAACATTCTCCTCTTTCTTGCCAACATTTTTTTAAATAGTAGCCATTCTGGTGAGAGTGGAATGATAACATATTAAACAAGAAAATGTTAAACGGTGGCATAGGACAATTATTTCAACTTAAACACTTAGTAAAGCTGTGCTCCTTGATGTCCACACACAGCATCTCTGTAATTTTGGGTGGTCCATGAAGCCGCCGAGAAGGAGGTCCTTGGAATCCTAGTAAATAGAGTCCCTGGTTACAATGTAAAGGGCCTTACAGCTCTGAAGGGGTTGCCTTTGTAATTGGTGTTTATAAATAATGATAATAATGGTGATAATAATTGAAGTTAGCATTTATCGAGCACTTATTCCATACGTTATTAGGTGTAGTACTGAACTACCTTATCCAATTTAATCCTCGTAGCCCACTGTCCTTAGTTTAAGCAGACACTGTTAACTAATGGTCTCTTTTAACTACTCACATACTAAGAGATTAAGTCAGAGAGCACCTGCTCAGCAGCAGGATTTTACCCTGGACTTCTCTACCTCAAGCCTGTGTTTTTTAAATCAGTGCATAGTGCTGCCTTTCCGCCCAAATCTGGCCACTGGAAAACCTGTGAAAGTTGTGAAATGGAGAAACTGATGATATACTGTACTAGCAACAGGAGAGCTTGCAATAAGTAATCCTTGCCAGGTAACATTTTCATTTATAATTGAGGATAATGAATCTTGGAGAGGCAAAAGGATTTGCTCACAGTCATACAGACAGTGGGTGCCACCAAGACTAGAACACCACTCTCCTAAGTCCCATGAGGTGTCCTTTCCTAATGTCACTTAAAGAAGTGCACTGAAGAAAAAGAAAGGTCCTGGAAGCTGCTTCACAAAAATGAAAGTTTATTCTCTTGTTTTGTAGTACTAGTTATTGCACCCCACTGAGCTACATCCTCAGTACTTTTAAAAAATATCTATCCCTAAAATGTACCAATAAACTCAATTAAAGCTGAAAAAAAAATCTATTGTTTGCTTTAAATTGACCAATAAACTTAATGGAAAAAATAAAATAAAAACATTTTATCTTGAGACAGGGTCCCTTTAAAGTGCCCAGGCTGGCCTAGATCTTGGACTTTGTCTGCCTGCTTCCTGGGTAGCTGGGCTGACAGGCATGTGCCACTGTGCCAGGCATTTATTTTCCCTTTGCACATCCTAGTACAGACTCACTCCTCCATGTTGCAGTGTAAATCAGAAGACACACATTGAGTGCAGAGTTAGGTCTCTGAGACGACAGCACAAGCAAGCAGAAGAGCAGTGAAATTTACAACAAGAAACTCAAATTGTTCATTTATGAACTGTACTTTGCAGGATTATCATTAGGTAGAAGCACAGATAGTTCCACTATTGAGTATAGACTGAGGTCCTCCTTTCACCACAGAGGACATCTCAGAATCAGGAAGAGGTTGGAATCCCTGTATGTCTGTTATTTGTAGAACCCGGTATGAGAGGGAGAAGAGAATGGAAGAAAAGAGATTCCTGATGTCAAACTAGAGAGCACGGGTTACTCATACAGAGACAAGACTAAGAAAAAGGCACATTACATACTGGTTTGTGATCTGCCTTCCACCTCCCAGGATTTAAGCACCATGAAGGAAGGCACTTAGGCTGCAGTTCATCTCTCTAGTCCCTAAAAAACTGCCTAGCACAAAGTGGGAAGTGCTTTGGAAATTTTTATTGAATTAATCATGAATGAATAAAATTATGAGGGCCGGGGATTTAGCTCAGCAGTTTGGTTGCCTGCCTTGCAAGCGCAAGGACTCAATCCCCAGTACCCCCGAACCAAAAAAAAGAAGAAAATTATGCGGCAGCACTCAAGAAAAAATTTAATTGCAGACACAAAGGAAACAAAAGGACACTGCACTTGTGATTGTGTATCATGTAGATTCTGCTTAATGCCTTTTCCAATATTTTCTATTCCATAGACTGTATGGCATACTCCATGGGGAAAATCCAGAATGCTTCAGTAGAAGTTTCTGGAGAATTTGCCCTTCTGAAAGAAAATGTGACAAGGTTCTGTGGTTTTTGCTTTTGGCTATGTTGGGGATACAATTCAGAGACTCGCCCAAGTTAGCTGCTTTGCCACTGAGCTACACCGCCAGCCAAGAAAACTCTGTGGTTTTCAAAGCTTTATCTGCCTGTCCTACCTTCAGGACTCGCAGCACACAGCAGAGGCAGTGTCAACAGAGGACATCCAGGTCACTGACATGGTGGTGGTTAGGGTTATTTGGTAATAATGCTGGATATTTAGATATATCACTTCTACTCTAGATACCAGTAACTATGAGTAGCTTTCATTCCACTTGCTAGAGACATGGAAATTGAAGGAAAATTTTTCATCACAAAAGGTAGTCTTTGACTTGTATAAGAAAGAAAAATTTCCAAGCCATTTCTTACCTTCAGAAATATCAAGCAAGATAAGAGTACAAGCGTCTTCCCATTTATTTGAGACAGGGTATAATGAATGGTTCTACTGTGCTATTTGCGTTAGAGTAGAAGACACCTGTCAATGAGAAGGATCTGTTCCAGTTCCTGTGCGCAGCTGGGATGAGCCCTAAGCCAAAACTGAAATATTCCCACCCCAAGTGGTCTGATGGAGATCGTCCTGAGGTGGTAAGTTGCATCTGGTGACTGAAGACTGTACAGCTTGCTCTTTATCTCTATCAATAACTTACAGTCAACAACAGGAGATTGTGACTTCTGAACATTTGTTTACCTGTTGATGGCAAGGAGTAGAATGGAAGGGTGGGTGTACTTCCTGCTCCGCTGGACTCAGGCACTGGAGTCTTAAAGAGACTGGGTATTTGGCTTGGATGTAGCGCATACCAAATTCCTGATGTTCCTGGATCCAATGGCCTTATTCCATGTCCATGCAGATTATAGAATTCATTACTCCAATATGGTATATGGGGTTGGCTGGTTACCCCCATTGGCTGGTGTCCTGCATTACTGTGACTTGCACTAGCATAAGCAGGACCTTTCACCCTTGTGTTCTGAGCACTCTCAAAAGGTCTTGGCTGTGCAAAAGGGTCATGAGAGACCCTTCGTCTCCTCTCCTCCTCTATGTTATAAGCCACATTCTGTATGGGTTGCTGTTTCATCTGCTTGTCCATGCGGCTGCCATAAATATGATAGTTGGCTTCCTCCTGGAGTTTACACTGCAGATTGGATTCATGTTCTTCTTCTTGTTCTGGGGAGGCAGAAAACCAGGACTCCTCCACAGGTCCCATCTCAAGTCCCTGGGAACTGTGCAATGAGCCAGGCTGTTCTGTAGCAGAGAAGTGATCAATGTGAGTTTCATGAAACAAGAAGTGAAATAAAACCCAAACACCATCATGAATCTTTCCTTCAGAATAACAAGGAAAAGTAAAAAGCATCTAGCAGGTAGTCCTCTTCTTGGGAGCTTGTAGATAATCAGTAGGACCTCCCGGCTGGGGGAAAGAGCATGAGGGAAGTCAGGACAAGCAACAGAATTTAGTGTCAGAGGAAAACCTATGGAAGAAGGGATGTGGATTTTAGCAGAGAAGGTGACTGTCACCTTGGAATGACGTGGGGTCGGGAAAGAATAGTAGCAGCCATTCCATGCACTTCCCATTGATTCTTTCATTCCTCAAAAGCTCTATGGGAGGAGGAGCAATTATTTTCATGATGATGGATGAGGTTTTGGTGAAGTTACGTAATTTGCCACAGATCAGACAGAAGTGACTTCAGTATCCTATACCTTTTCCTTCCCTTGTGTCATAATGAAAAAAAAGTATCTCCACTTAAGTCGTAGACCAAGCTCTCCGCCTGTGCTCTGAATTGGGTCAACTCTGACTTCCTCAAAAAGTCTGCCCCTACAAATATTCCCTTCTTTCTCCTGAACCATGGCTTCCCATCAGACACAGGAGGCCTCTTGTGTTCAAGATAGTCTTAGGATTTGGTAAGCACACTAGTATTTAATATTGTAAAAATACCTGACTGGACTTCCAAATATATTATAAGTTCCTTTAAGACAGGTATTCAATTCTATAGTTCATTCTGTTTCCCATATGATTTTCAGTAGGTTTCTTTCTTTTTTAAAGTTTTTTGAAACAAGGTCTTGCTACATAGTACAGGTTAGCCTTGAACTCACCATATAGCCCAGGTTGGCCTTGAACTTATGATGATCCTCCTGCCTCAGCCTGTCAAGTGCTGGGACTACAGACATGTGTCACCATCCCTGGCTCTTGAGTAGTTCAAAGAGTAGAATGAATGAATGAGCAAATAAATAAATAGATCTCAACCACAGTTACCTGAATTTGACCTGCTTGGAGGGTCTGCAACACAATCGAGTCGGAGAGACTGCATTCTCCTGAAAACTTCATTTTGCATGGGATACTCTTTCTATAATTAAGACCATAAATATACACTTTATTAAACAGCAGAAAATATTCAGTCCCAGAAAATTATAAAGAGTGAATCTTTTCAGATAGAAATTTCACTCAAATCTTATTAGTAGTAAGCTCTATTAAAAATAATTTTTTTCCAAATAGTTAAAAATAAGTCCAAATAATAACAGGACAAAGCTTCAGAACTCACATTTGCTGATTTTAAAACATACTACACAAGGCTACAGTAATCAAGCCATTGTGATAATGGCATGAAGACACACACAGACCAATGGGACAGAATGGAGAACTCAAAAATAACGCGTCCCACATAGTTTCAGTTGACTTCGACAAGGAAGCCAGGACCATTCAGTGAGGGAAACTAAATATGCACCTGCCAAAGAATGAAGTTGGACCTTTACCTTACACTATACAAAAAAATCAACTCGACTTAACACTTTTCAGAAGAAACGTAAGAGAGGCTCATGACATTGGTTGTGGCAATCATTTCTTGAATATGACATGAAAAGAAAGCATAGACAACGAAAGTAAAAATAGATAAATTTGACTCCATCAAAGTTAAAACCTTCTGTGCATCAAAGGACACTACTGAGAGTGAATAGATAACCCATACAATGGGGGAAAACTGTAAAACATATTTATTTGATGAGAGCGGACTACCCAGAATAGTGAAATTTATAACAACAAAAAACAACCAAATCCAAAAATTAGCAAAGGAGTTGAACAAATATTTCTCCAAAGAAGATACAGAAATGGCCAACATATGCATGAAAGGATGCTCAACATCATTAGAGAACTGAATATTAAAACCACAAGGATGCCAGGTGTGGTGGCACATGCCTGTAATCCCAACACTCCGGAGGCTGAGACAAGAGGATCGCTGTGAGTTCAAGAACAGCCTGGGCTACACAGTGAATTCCAGGTCAGTCTCAACTACACATTGAGACCCTGTCTCAAAAAAAAAAAAAAAAAAAAAACAACAAACCACAAGGAAATAGCACCTCATCCTTATTAATGGCTATGTGAAACAAACAGCAAACAGTAATTACTGTTGTGAGGACATGGGAATTAAAAGGAACCTTTGTGCTTTAATGGAATTGCTATGGAAAGTAGTTTGTCAGCTCCAAAGAAGTCAACATTAAGTTAAATACATGGTCTGTCAATTCCAGTCCTAGGTTTACATCTCTAAGAACTGAAGGCAGGAACTCAATGCTCAAGGCAGCATTATTCACCACAGCCAAAAGGTGGAAAAGATCCAAACATCAATCTCAGATGAATGGAGGGATAAAAACGTGGTACAACCATACAGTAGACTGAAGAGGAATGGAATTCTGACACACGCTAGAAAATGGATGAACTTGAACACCATTATGCTGGGTGAAATATGCCCAACTCAAATGGGAAAATGTTATGTGACCTTTTTTTTTATTTTGTGTGTGTGAGAGAGAGAGAAAAGTTTTTTGCATTATTTTGGGTATATGTTGTAAAAAAGTTATGGTGGTAGCTTGATCCCTGCTGTGTGTATGTGTGAGAGGGCTCTGCTCCTCTCCCTGGTTAGCTGGCCCCAGGCTTTGACCCACTATTTGCTCCTTCTGCCTCAGGCTGCTGCCTTCTGTCACTCAGCACAGGGAAGGGTCACGAGGAGCCAACTTTCCTGGACAGCACAAAGGTGGCTCCCAAGTTACTCTCCCATCACTGTCTGTTCCTCCAGGACTTCTTCCTCAGAATTAGCACCCCCCCTTATACCTTTCTGCTGTCTGTTTAGAATTCCTCAAAGTAACTAATGTACTTATGATATTTCTCTTCTTTCCCAGTGCTGTTTTTGCTTTCATGTAGCTCTATATATTTTCTCTCATTCATAAGTTTTGATGGAGAAATGTGTCCAATTAGCCAACATGATGTTTATACAAAATTGCAGATTTTATGTGTTTACCAGCTAGTTTACCTCAAGTCTCAGTTAATAAATCACACTCCTTTGGTTTTCATGATTGATATTGTATGTATTGATAATGTTAATATTTTGAATATCTGCGATATTACCTACCTTTAAACTCTTCACATCTTTTTCCACAGATTCTTCAAATTCACTTTCATAAAAAGGCTTAAATTGTTCTTCAATACCTATATGAGAAAAACAGTCCTTCAAATTTCTTAAGTATTTCCTAAAATAAAATATTAGCCATCAATTGTCTTTGAATTACTTACCTTAAACCTGTGGCAAAAGCAGTGAAATAAAAGATTTAACCTCCAAATCACTGACTCTAATGGAGGCTAAACACCAGTAGACAGAAAAGGGTAAGAATGGCACCGGGAACCCAATGCTCCTGCCTGGAAGTATGAGTTTGCTCTGGATGTAAGTTAATCTCCAAGTGAACAAGGATGAATGAATTCCATGTTTCCATTCCTCTGGCTGGCATCATATCCAAGAGAGGGTAGGACTTTCAGGATAAGGATTGGATGTAAAGAGTTAGAGGTATTAGCCTTAAAAGAAAAAGGAAATTTCTATTTCCAGGAAGATGGAGTGGATATGCTTTTCCATATTCCTCCTGCTAAGGACAAGAAACCTTAGATATATGTGAAACAAAAATACACTCTGGAAAGAGAGAGGAACACAGATCAGCGGGACCTCAGCGACTGAGAAAACACATAGGAGTGAGTCCCCTAGATTTTCTCTTTGGATTTTATATCCCCAAGTTGGAGCTGAACAGCTAGCAACCAGAATCAACAGGCACAGAAAAAAACATCAACAATGAAAGGCTGCTACCTGGTCACAGGATCAAGCAAGGCACAGCTTACCAACAGAGAAACTCTTCTGATTGATAACCTGTATCTCAGCAAAACAACATAGGAAATAACTCTGACCTCACCCTTACTCTTGCCAGCTAAGGCCAGGTGGACAGCCTAGACTTCCAGCTTCATGAGATCGTAACACAGTGCATCCCAACACCTCCACTGGAGAGGAAGCCAGGGCTTTTCCTTTCTACCAGGTGGTAATGAGCTTCTCCACTCCTGTGCTGTCAGGACGGCTACAGGAGTAACCTGGACATGTATTCCACATGGCAGTAACAGGATACCTTCCCCTCCCTACTGAGGAAGAATCAAAGGAAAGCTGGTAGAAAGTCTGAACTTTGATTATTGTCGAGTAGTAATAATGGTACCTCCTCCACCTCAGCGGAGTGAAGACCTTGTGAACTCTGCTAAACTTCCATCACTGACTAGCTGTGAAAAGTAATCCCTGCCTTGGATGTCAGTTGGGACTGAGTGTGGAACTTGGACTTGCAACTCCATTTGGCATTAACAAGGTGGTAACTATCATTCCCATGCCAGGGCAGTGAGGGGTAGGAGAATACTTGAATTTGTAAGCAGTTGGGTAGAAGTGTGGGTAGCCTGGCACCTTATTTGCAGCTAGTATCCACTATGGAGCTAGTAGTATGAGACTGAGCCCCTTAAATTGTGGGGTCTGATGAAAGCGCAGGGTAGTTAGTGTCAGAATTGAATTTCAGGATACTCGGTAACACATTTGGTGTAAGGCATCACAACACAGTAATTAAAAATATAGGTGAGTACAATAGGCTTTCCTTTTTCTCTTGAGTACTCAAAACTATGATAACTGAAGCAGAACTCTACCACTGATGTTTTTTGAATAAACGTAGAAAGATAGTTAAGGCTATGTACAGGAGAAAGGGAGAAGCAAAGGGAGAGAATGTTTTTATATATCACTCAGACTGGTAAAATGTCACCATTAGAGTGTGCTAAATTATGTACAGATAATGTAGTACCTTGAATATCCATTTAAAAAAATCATATACAGAGATACACTAAAAAATGATAGAGATGAGTTAAAGTGGAATTCTAAAATATGTTCAAGAACCCATAGGAAAGCAGGAAAAATGCTATTGTTTGGATCTTGAATCTGCTCCAAAGGCCTATGTGTTGAAGGCTTGGTTCCCAACTTGTGGGGGGTTAGGGTGAAAACCTTGAGGAGGTAAGGCCTGATGAAAGGAAGAAAGGTCACTGGACGTACCTTCCTCTTCCTTTCTCCTGCACATCCCAGTCATGAAGTGAATGGTTTTGCTGTGCCTGTGCTCCTTGCCATAATGCACTGCTTTGCAACAGGCTCAAAAGAAATGAGGCAAACCAACCATGGACTGAAACCACTGAAATTGCACCAGATAAACATTTTCTCTTTTTAAGATGATTGTCATGGGTATTTTGTTATAGTAATGGAAAGCTGACTGATACAAAAAGACCAAAAATAGGAGAAATGAAAGCAGAGAGAACCAAGGGGAGAAAAAAAAAATGGTAAACTTGGATCCTAACATACCAATAATCATGTTTTTTTTCTTTTGGTACCTGGGATTGAATTTGGGACCTTGTGATTGTGAGGCAGGTGGCAGAATCACTGAGCTAAATCCCCAGTCACGTTAAATTTAAATGGCCTAAATACTCCAATTAAAAGATAGAGGTTCATAGAAGAGATTTAAAAACATGACTCAATTTTAATGCTATCACAAGAAACTCACTTCACATATAATAATACAGGAAGGTTAAAGTAAAAGAATGGAAAAAAATATTAAATCAAAGGAAAATAGGGAGGCTATATCAACTTCCAAAAAAGATTTAAGCAGTGAATATTATCAGAGATGGGAAAATTTATATAACTGTAAGATCCAGTCCACCAGACACAGCAATCCTGTGTATACACCAAATAAGAGAAGCAAAATCTGAAAAGCAGAAGCTAAAACTGAAAGCAGAAACCTACAAATTCAGTTATAGTTGGAGACTTGAACAGTCTTCTCTCTACACTGAAAAAGCAACTGAACAGAGAGTCATCAGACAGAGGAAAACAAAAACAGCATCAATCAACAGGATATAATTAAGATTTCTGTAACACTGTACCAAACATGAGCAGAAAACCCAAGTGTTCTCCTTAAGTGCCAACATGACATAAACCAAGACAGACCACAAGCTGGCCCCACCTCACCACAAAACCTCAACACACTTGAAAGAAATGAAACACAGAATGTGCCCTCTGCCCACATTGAAATCAAACAAAAAAAATCAGTAATGGGAAGATGAAAGGAAAATCTTCAAAGTCTTGAAAACTAAGGAACACATTTCTAAATAATATATAGCTCAATGAAAAAGTCTGAAAGGAAATTTTAAAAATGCATTAAAATTAATGAAAATAAAATATATACGTCAAGACTTGTGGAACCCATCCACAGCAGGGATGAGAGGGAAATTTATGGCAATAATGTGCATATTAGGAGAGAAACAGTGTCAAATCAGTAATCTGAGTTCCCACCTCAAGAACCTAGAAACGAAGAGCAACACAAACACAAAGCAAACAGAAGGAAGGAAATGATAGAGATAAGGTCAGAAGTCAATGAAGAAAAAAACAAACAGTAAAGAATAGTGAAGCAAAAATTAGTTATTTGAAAAGACAAATAAAATTTATAAATCTCTAGCAAAAGCAAAAAAGAAATGATGTAAATTACTAGTATCCTGAATGAAATGGTAGATACCTCTACACAGTAAACCCTACCAATATAAAAATATATAAGGGATATTAAAAGCAACTTTGCACACATAACCATAAAAATTTAGATGGAATAGACCACTTGCTGGAAAAATACAAACTACCACAGCTACCCCAATATGACACAGAACCTCTTGAATAGTCCTACAACTATTAAGGAAATGGACTTCATAATTTAAACCACTCCTTCCATCTGTAGGTCAATGGTTTCATGGCAGAATTCAGCCACATTTTAAAAATATTCTACACACTGACATATAATGTTACATCGTACTTAAATTAGTTACATCAAGCAGGATATTACCTGTAGCTGATATTATAACTAATAATGAAAGATCAATGGTTTGCACCTAGATTAGGAAGAAGATAAGGGTGTCTTTTCAGTCCTGGTCAAGTTAATAACAGATGCTCTAGGCAGTACAATAATCCAAGAAAATGAAATTATAGACACACAGTTAACATGACCTTTAATTACATTAAAAAACTGCAAATGACAGGATTTCATTCTTCTTACGGCTGATAAATTTCCAGTTCCTTCATCCATTCATCCACTGATGGGCACTGAGGTTGGCTGTATTTTAGCTATTGTGAACAGTGCCTCAGTTAACACAGATGTGACCACTGGGGGATGGAATAAATGATACCCAGGGTCTCTTTGCATTGTTTCTTATGACTGCATGTGAATTTACAACTATCCCAAAATAAGAACTTTAATTTTGAAAGTGAAATGGCATAACACATGAAAGAAGCCAGGAAAAGATGACTGATGAAGCATGTGGAAAAACAGACAACAAAGTACCCCTGCAACCCTTTGGTGGTAGTTCAGAGGTGGCTGAATCTAGAGCGTGTGATTCATGGTGAGGATAGGCCCGAGGGCACTGGGATTAAAGGCATGAGTGCTACCTGCCTTCAGTAATCTGAAGATAAACAGGGCAAAGACACCATTAAGGTCTCTTGTTTCGTCTGCTGTCTTCTGCCACCATGAACTGTTGCCCCCCTGCCATGAGCCACTCTGCCTTGGAGCCAGTCGATTATGGACTGAAACCCCTATTAACTGTGATCTAAATGAAACCTTCCCCCTTTAGCTTTGGCTTTCAGGTATTTTGTCTCAGCAATGAGAGAAAAGGAACTAAGACAGCTCCTTAGTGCCTTCCTATTACACCTTTATTCCTCACCTAATTTACTACTTTCCTTTCCCTACTTCACAATCTCCTACATCATGTAGGGGAACTGGAAGGGCGTGCAAGGATGTGTCAAGCATCCACGTCCCCTTACCTCTCTCTACAGCAGGACCAATGTACTCACGAAATACTTTCTCAAACATGCCAACTAAACAAGGGGAAAAAGAAATGAAAGGAAACAAGAAGGCCCACTGAGCAACCCACGTGCCCATCACCAGAGGAGTGGACAAACACAACTGATGTATTCATACAGCCATACACAGGAAGGAAATCGTGACATATGCTACAACACAGATGAACCCAGAATACATGCATGACAAGTTAATGAAAGAAGCCAGGCACAGAGGCCGACGACGATGCCTCCACTTGACGAGGTGCCAGAGTAGTCAGTCACAGAGACACAAAGTAGAATGGTGATCACCAGGGCCGAAGAGGAGGATATGTAATGTGTGCTTCCTGGTGATGGCGGCATAGCAACACGAGTGGACTTACTGCTACTGATGTAAACTTAAAAACAGCTATGATACATCCATGTTTCTTTATCTTTTTGGGAACCGGGGATCGAACTCAGGTCCTTGTGCTTGCAAGGCAGGCGGCGGAACCACTGAGCTAAATCCCCAGCCCACATCCATGTTTCTAACAATAAAAAGTTAATACTAAAAACACAAACAAGAAGACCTTATATATCTTAGTGGTTTTGAGATCTTTTCATTGAACAGAACGTTTGAAATATAGAAAGTCAGTTTGAAACCAAGTTTTCTGAAGACTCAAACCACATTCCTGATATCATCTCACTCAGGGATGAAACCTACAAAGTCAGAAAAAAAAAGTCTTACTAGGAAATACTGGCCGAACTTCTGGGTTTTCCTCCCAGCAGAGTTCCATGAGGTGGATGATCTCCTTGGGGCAGTGCTCAATGATCTCCTCCACGTTTGGCCTGTTCCCATTTCTTATGCATATCAATAGGTGCTCTGCGGAGATGGCATCTGTAAAGCAGAAAGAAGCTTCCAGTGAGACCTGTGGCTCCTGCTCTTCTCTCAGGCAGAAGACAACAGAACCTGGATGATATGCTGAGTGTCTCTGCCTAAGGTAAGCTTTTAGCAGAGTTGCCTATTCCATAGGGGCAGAATGGCCTCGTGACAGGGAGCTGACACATTCCACTGCTAAGATAATCCAACATTTAAATTTCTGCAGATCAAAGACAAAATTTCAAACAAAGCTGCTTTCTTGTTGAACAAATGGCTTCTCTGGGTAAAGCCAATGGCTTCTTATCAAGACAAATACAGGACAGGAGAGTAACTTAAAATATAGAGCGGTTAAAAAAATAAGAGTGGTGATTGGTATTTTTAAACAAGGGGTTCGGGTAATACAATTATGACTAGAGTAGACTTTGTTGAGTAAAGAAAAGTAAGTAGATGGTATCCAGGTAAAGAATGAGGAGGCAAGACCCAAGCAGGAGGACTCCAGTCCAGGGGAATAGGAAACTAGTAGACTGGAAAAGACAGAAATCATGGTGCATCCCAGAATTTACTAGATTGGAGTAATTGGGCATGCTGGTAAAGGAGGGAGAGGCAATGGATAAGACTAGAGAGAAAAGTAAAGATCACACATAAAGAACAAGCCTCAAATCCCACAATGAGGACTCTCAACGCTATCCCAAAGGCGGGGGAGTCTGAGAAGGATCTGAAATGGTGCAGTGTCACATCTGCCTTTTAGGTGACCCCGTTGGCTGCCACATGAAGCTGGAAAGCATGAGCACCTGCAGCAGAATAAGGAGGGTGTGAACTGAACAGATGCTGGTGCAGACGTTAAGTAGACAGGTTTAAAGCTTTGAGAGAGAGAGGGAGGGCCAGGTTGAGTCTGAGATGGCTCTAAGGTTGCGGGCATGCAACTTGGTATAAAGATGGCCAAGTCATTTTCTGAACATCTAAAGAGGGGCCAAGGAGACTTCACCGAGCACTGACTGCGTCCCGGGCATGGTGTGTGTGGATGCAGAGGAAATGGCCGTGAATGGGATGTGGCACTGGCCTTCAAGGAACTTGCACTCTAGTGGGCTAGACTGCCACTGATGAATGATTTCAGATCTTAACTGATTTTGCTGAAGGTCATTATCTCCCAATAGTTCTGATTAATATTACAGTCCCACTCCTCTACAAATGTCTTACTTTCGTATGGCTCTTTATTTGCAAATATTGCCCAAAGAACTATGCCAAAGCTATACACATCTGACTTCTCTGTGGGCCTGACATTGATGTTGCAGAGGTGCTCGGGGGCCATGTAATACAGGGTGCCACCATTTTTCTTAGAGGTGCTGTTAGCCTTCCTTTGCTCATTGTGTTCTTCTTTAGTCAGTTTGCTCCACGTCTTAAAGGAAGCTACACCAAGGTCAGCTATCTGCAAGAGAGATCACACCATTAAGATTACTGTGCAAAAGCCACAAACCAATCAGATTTGGCTTCAAACTTGGGGCTTCTCCAAGATGTGACTGAGATACAGAAACAGTTGGGAATGTTTACATCAGCATTGGAACAGACTCGTAAAAACTTAGTCTTTCCTCACTCATCTGGAAAACCTCCCCTAAGAAATGATCACATGATATTCTGGTATCTCCATTCTTACGCGGTTAAAGGCAGAGGGGAAAGCAGAAGACAGTTTTACCATGACACCAATAACAAAATGTGTTTACATTCTGATTCTTCATTTGCTCTGCACAAGTGTTCCAGCTATTTCTGGGGCTGGCGGAACATTATTTTCTTCTTAGCAGATTTATGTAACAGAGACTAGGTACTTCACTTCTATTCCCCAGATGGCATCTAGAGACCACATGGATGAGTCTCCAAGGATCCCCAAACACACTGAGGACAACAGCTGTGGTGCTGCTGTTTGTAGCCCAAACCTAAGATGGAAGGAAGAGGGAAAATAAAACCCAAAGCACAGACAAATAGCAAGGTCAGACACTGAGCAAAGAGGGAAGTGGCAAGGCAAAATGACAGAAGAACATAGTTAAGAAAGAACCGACAGTTCCAGTTCTCTTTCTAGAAATCCAAGCCAACATTCAGAGGCTCATTATGGGATGCAATTATCTGAAACTCAGAAAGAAACTTCTTTAAAGACACTGGATAAAAACCTGTCCACAACTCAAGAGTATTAAAAGCAGAGTGTTGTAGGTATGTTCTGAATTCTATCCCAGTCCTGCTTTTCCTTTTCAGATCTTGCGGTTTTCGGTGTGGTGCTGGAGATGGAACCCAGGGCTGCCTGCATGCTAGGCAAGCGCTCATACTGAGCTGCGCTCCCTGCTTCCATTCACATCCTCGAACTTAGATTCCAGCTGCCAAAACCAATTCATGTGCTGCTCCCCGCAACTAAATCTTTTCCTGGAATGAACAAAAGAAAGATCCCTTTCCCTTGTTCCCTTTACTACAATGGAATGAGTTTTTAAAAGAAAATTGATTTTTTAAAAAATGCAGCAGATGAAAATTAAAACAATTTTTTTTAATCAGCTGAATCTCAAAGTAGAGGCTTTTGAGTTCACTGCTGATCTGACTGTGGGGCCATACCTGAGTTCTAAGGACCTCCCACACAGCCCTCCACACTCTTCTGCATTTCCAGAGTCTCGGTTACACAGATTCCCTGGAAGAATGATGAGGCAGATGGCCTATTTGGGGTGAACAAGCTAACTCTTGAGTGTTTCCATCTCAAACTCTAATAGAGGAGGATAATAAAATCTAGGGAAGAGGTCTGCTTGCCTACGCCATTCCAATCTGCTCCTCAACAAAAGGTATGAACCACATCCTTACAGTCATCTCCCAGCCCTGCCAAGCCTGGCCTGTCCTTTGGCAGCCTCAACGCAGGTTACACACTGAGCTAGGTCTTCCTCTACCATCTACATGAATGGATTCACAGTGGAAAGAGAACCTTCCAGAAGCCTAGAGACTAAGTGAGGTTTACCTTAATGTGGAAGTCATTATCAACGAGGATATTTTCAGGCTTCAGGTCCTTATGTATCACGCCTGCTCCATGTAAGTAGCACATTCCTTCAATAATTTCTGCAATTACCCTTGCTTTCACAGAAAGCGGGATACTCATCTGAAACAAAGCAGAACACATTTGTGCAGAGGGAGATAACCAAACAGGCAAACTGAAGAGTGGTGGGATCTGAGCCCGAGGACAGAGATACCACATTTCCACCAGGTGCCCCGCAGTGCTGCTGTCCCTGTGGAACAAGCCCCCATTTCTGGAGATTCCCTTCTAGGCACTAAAGGGTATGGATGTGGTATCTTGTCAGTGTAAAAATAAAAAACCCACACCAATTTCATGGCACATAAAAAGAAACTCCTTTCCAAGACTTATTACTTAAGATTGTGCCCCTAGAATGGGGCCTAGAGTGAATGAATGAACAGATAGATATACAGACAAACATTTTCTATGGCATATATACTCATATGATGAGATCACCTTATTTACATGAACTACATGAATCATGTCAGGGAAGTGTGCATGTGAAATAATGTTAACACAGGAAATGTGTTCCCACTTATTACAACTGTGTAAAACTCTATGCTATACGCATGATTCTAAAACTATGCTAAAGTAAGTTAGTTTCTATTCATTATCTCATGTCAAGCCCTTTAGGGTCACTGTATAGTTTCAGGCCACTCTTACAGTTCTATTCTAATTATATCATCCATGTTAGTAAAAACAATTCCAATTTCTATTTCAGTGGTTAAATTTTAATTTTGCTTCACAAAGAAAAAAGTTTATAAATAGGATATTTCCCAAAAAGTGTCTGTACACTGGTTGATGGTTAACAGAAAAAACATGTAAACTACAGAATTAGATTCCCAAGTCTACCCCTCAAACCACATTTAACGCATAATGTAGCTGAACTATAGCATCAATAACCGGGTCACTGCTGTACAAAAAGGAGATCTGTTTCCTTCTTCCTTGGTATACTTTTGGCCTTTGGAAAAAATTCTAAGCAAGCAAACCTCATTCTCCCCCCACCCTTCCAGATTCTCTCTTGGGTCCTCTTGATTCTTCCTCAGCCCCAAACGGTACACCTTATCCTTGCTGGTCCAGCAGAATGCCTCCTGTCCCAAAAGACTTGTTTCTCTACTAATATGTCTCCTTTCATGCCTCTGATCTCAGCGGGTTTGAGGAAGAAGCACAGTCTGGCCAACTATGATACAACAGACCTAAGTGATCATATGCTGTCCTCCCCCAGGTGTGTGTATGTGAAAGAGATCTACTGGTTAGCAGGTGTGAAATGGGAGGGAAATACGGAGAAAGGGAAAATGCCATAAAAACAACCATACCCTGTCACTGCACAGTCTGCCCTCTAGCCAAAACCAGTGACTTACAGTTCTGAAAATCTGGCTGTCCTCTTACTCCTTTGCCTCAGCATCATCTCTGCCAGAAATACTTATCATTTCCTTTTGTCTATCAGGCTGGAAGCTTTACCCCTCCCCTCTGCCCAGGCTGTGTTTCTGCTGCAGCAGACTCTGGGAAGTCAACCACAACACCATCACACCACAACACCATCACACCACAACACCATCACATGGCACTTCCTGTCTGCCTCCTTTCCTTGCCCACATTCTGGCTAGGACTCCTGAGTGACTAGCACAAGACCTTGATCTTAACAGGTGCATAAACTTTAAAAAATACTTTAAAATTATTTGGTTTTGGTAAACTAGTTTAATTTTCCCGTTTTAAATCTTATCCATTGTTCTTGCAGCTTATGTTCTACTTTTAACCTGTAATAAAAGTTTCCTAAATGGTTTCAAAGTACAGTCATAAATCTTCCATCTTCTTTTACATTATGTGGAGTGCAGATGCTTTCATGAATCCTGTGCTGGTCATGACAGTGTACAGGCTGTCATCAGTTGACCCACACACCCCATGTCAGACCATGTGCTCCTGAAGATTGACCCTGTCTCTGGAGTGTGAATTGGAGAGGCTGGCAGGTGTGGTAACAAGTTAACCACAACACCAGATGCAGGGGGACCTTTTGAGCAAGGACACAGAACTGTCGGGGGTGGGTGGAAGGAGAGAAACCGCCCTCAGCAGAGGAAGGCAAGAAAGATCTCAGAACTAGCAATGGTGGCACATGCCTATAACCCCAGCTACTCGGGAGGCTGAGGCAGGAAGATCACAAGTTCAAAGCCAGCCTGGGCAACTTAGCAAGACGCCCAGTCTCAAATTTTTTAAAAATAAGAGCTAGAGGATCAGGGATACAGACTGGTGGTAAAGCACCCCTAGGTTTGATTCCTATTAGTGAGCGCGCGCGTGCACACACACACTCTGACAAAGCCTGACTTCAGGAAATCCTAAAGTGATTATTTTACATCAGTGAGCTACAGGTGGCCCCACAGTACCGTAACAGCCAGTCAGCACCCCACCCAGGGCTATGCAGAGAGCCCTGGTGGTGTGTACTACCTGGGCTTTGAGCACCTGCATGAGGTTGCCCTTCTCCATGTACTCCATCACCAGGGAGTAGTTTCCTTCCTCGATGATGACACCCAGCAGCTTCATCACACGTCTGTGACTCAGTCTGTACATCATCTTCCCCTCCTCCAGGAGGGACTCGTTGTACCTGCAGGTGGAAAGGCACTGTGCTGAGGTGGGCACAGCTCCCCCTTATCCCTGGAGCCCAAGCGCCTCCAGTGCACTGCCACACACTTCATCACACTGGGGCTCATCTGGTGTCCCCAGGCCCAGACCACAAGTGTTACCGAGCAGGAGGCTGGTCACCCTGATGCTCTGCTCCTAGTCCTGGCAGCAGGCACCCAGGACTGTAAATAAGCAGTGCACAGCACACAAGCAGAGCAACGTGGCCTGAACAGAGCACTATGCTGGACAGTGTGTGACAGGAAAAAGCATGACAGAATGTGAGCCCTCTGAGAACTGCTTCAACTGCCTTTTTTGTACATTTTGAGGACTGGTCCTTGCCAAAAATGTAAAGCCAGGAAGCTTGTTTTCACTGATTCCTCCCATTCCCTTTACACTGCCTCCCGCATCAGTGCTTTTTCCTTCCCATATGCTTCTCTCCCATATCACCAGTTTTTCAGTAACTGGCCTCAGGACCCTCATCAGAGATGATGCAATAACAAGGGTTATCATTACTCTTGGCAGGGTTGGTGTACTGAGACTACCTCGAGGGCTGCCTCATCCTGAAATCCAGGTGGCTCTAATCCATGAGCCCTCCAAGATCACCGCTTTTGGGACCAGCTGGGAGTGCAGCCCCCACCTCTGCTCCCGACTCACTCCATGCGCTTGGGCCCTGTGTACACCTTTTTCAGGATCACAAATCCATGCGTCCTGTGGTAACACAAGGACACTGCCCCGAAGCCTCCACTGTCTAGATCTTCTTTTTGAAGAAGGTCACTGGAATTCATCTTAATGTCATCCAAAGACATGCTGGCTTGCTTTCCAAATGCTTAGAATGCCTGAAACACACCACTTTCTTTTTTGTTTGTTTGTGTTTCCTCGGTGCTGTGCCCTGTAAGAAAACAGAGGACATCTTAGGGCAAAGAGATCTTGATGCAAAAAACCGCATGCTTGGTGTGCCTTCGTTCTTCTGAGGAGAGATGACACAATCTCTAAGACGAGCTGTTTTCTAAGAATCACAGAAGACCGTAATTTTTATTCCCACAGACTTTTCATTTCTGGCAATACTGTGTACATAAGAAATTTAAACACCTTCCTGCTACAGACCTATATGTGTGGGAGACCATAATTCCAGCATGTACTCAGATGCACAGCTAACTCAATGGGAAGGAAAAGAATTCCAGGAAGAGAAAACAAGGAGCAGTGGCCCATGTGGAAGCCCTGCAGGCCATCCAGACAGTGGGGGCTAAAGTTCTTCAAACTGAAACCAATAAAACCACCCAGGGAGTCACAGTGCGATACCAATACACACCTACCCAGATACCCAAAATTACAAAGACAGGCAAATACTCCCAATGACAAGCAGTAGCAGAGGTTCTTATACACTGCCGGCAGGAGTGTAAATTGGTATGGCCACTTGGGGAAAAGGTCTTATAGAACTAAACACACCCCTGTATACTATGACCAGGCAATTCCTCTCCCAAGAGAAATGAAAACACACATCCAAAAAGATTCACAATGTTCTGAAGCAGCTTTATTTGTAATAGCTGCAAAGGGGAGACAGCTGTCCTCCAGAAGGGGGCGTGGCAAAGTATTATACTCAGCAGTAAACAAGAGCTGAATTACTAATGCACAAAACAGCACAGATGAAATGCAAAAACATCATGCTGGTGAAAGGAGTACAGAAGAATACATACTGTATACTTCCTTTTATATGAACTTCTAAAATGGGAAGAATTAATCCACAGTGGAAAGAGAAGACTGGTTGCCTGCCAGCAGGGTGAGAAGTGAATGGGACGGGGCAAAGAGGAGACATTCTGGGATGCCAGCAGGGCTAGGGTTGTGCAGACGTAGACGCCCGCCGGTACTAAGCAGGGTTAGTCAGCCCTCTGCATCTGTGGGTTCTGCATCTGTGCGCTTAACCTAATGCCAACAGAAAATGTTCTTGAAAATCTGCAGCTGTACTGGACATATACAGACATTTTCTCGTCATGATTCCCTCAGCAACACAGTGTAACAAGCATTTGCATAGCACTTACACTGCATGAGGTCCGGCAAGGGTGTGTGTAGGTTCTATGCAAATACTATGCCATTTTATATAAGGGATTTGGGCATCTTCAGATTTCTATATCTGAGGGGGTCCTGGAATCAGTCCCGAGGACACAAGTGTACTCTTCAGAACAGAAGGGAAATCTGTAAACGTACTGAACTCTAATTTGCAGTAGGCATGTTGAAGTACTTAAGTGGATGGTGATAAAGCAAGCAGAGTAAAATTACTAGTGCACAAATGGGAGTATACTGAAAAATATTTTTAACTTTGCACTTTGTTGTTTTTCATCGTAGAATGCTGGAGAGCATGGAGTTTAAAAGTGCCATGGTGGGGAGCTTTCTACAAACGCACAGGCTGTCTACAGTTTTGTCCAGTTGCCTGCTGCAGACGACACAGGTAAGTGACTCTCCACACCTGTGCAAAGGCTGCCCAGACCACGCCCACGTACCAGCACACGAGGCTCGTGATATAAGGCATTGCCAGGCAAGAGAAGCGTCTTCCAGGAAAGAAGCTCATCTGTGAGACAGGGACCAGGGGGTGGGAGGGGAGCAGGGAGCTGCCAGGTAAAGGGTGAAGGCTGTGGGAAGGGGTGAGGCCCAGACTGAAGGAGCAATAGCAGGTGCCATTAACAGTGTCAGCGTAGAGTGACGTCTCCTCTTGTAAGGCTGAGTGCCAGCTCTGTAATTCATTACCCCTGTGACCCTGGGACAATTACTTCACCCTCAACTTCCTCACTGCAAATGGGGATAACAACCCCTCATGGGACAGGTAAGGATTATATGGAAAACACTGCGGCTGCATGCGGTAGGGTCCTAACCATGGTTAGCTGGGCTGCTCAGTTACTCGTCTTGACTCCCCACAATGCCAGCGTGCCCTGGGACTCTGCCCAGGGCCTCCACGCCAGCCAGTCCTGGTGAGGATGAGGCTGGGGAGAGGATGCACAGACAGGAGGCACGGGAAGCACACCAAAACAGTAGCAAGGGTTTTCATCTGTATGGTAAGGTTATTTTTTGCTTTCTCTACAGTTTTACTATATTTTCTATAATAAACAAAAATTATATGTTTAAAAAGGAGTAATTCCTTGACTCAGTAGTTCCTTGAGGTATCAAATCTGAGATGCTGATAGTTATGTAAATGATGTTCTTGGTAACATTACACAGAACAGCAAAAGCATAGAGAATGGAGAACAACTTGTATGTGCAGAGGAGAGAATAAGTTATGAGCCACCCATACTCTGAAATCTGCTCAGCAGTTTTCAGAAACAATGCTGTGGAAGAATGGTTAGTAATACAAAGTGCCTGAGCTAAATCCCTGGGCCCAAGATAGCCTCTTTAATAAATGGTGTTGGAAAAACTGGATTTTAACTTGCCAAAGATTAAAACTAGACCCCTATCTTTCACTATGCACTAAACTAAAATCCAAGTGGATTAAAGATATAAATATTAAAATAGAAACACTAAACTTGCTGAAAGATAAGTTAGGAAGAACTCTCGAAGACATTGGCATAGGAAAATACTTTATGAACAAATCCTCTGTAGTACAGGAACTAGCACAAAGAACCAACAAGCTTCTGCACCACAAGAGAAGCCACCAACAGAGCTAAGAGATAACATTTTGTCTGTTCCTCAGACAACAGTCTATTATCTAGAATATATAAAGAACTAAGAAAAATCAGACCTCCCAAATATAAACACCTAATTAAAAGATGGGCATCTGAAATGAACAGACATTTCTCAAAGAAGCAAAAGCAGCAAATAAATATGTAAAAATGTTCACCATCACTGGTCATTCAAGAGATGCAGATGTAAATAACACTGAGGGCTGGGGATTTAGCTCAGTGGTTCCATCTCCTGCCTCGCAAACCCAAGGTCCTGAGTTCGAACCCCAGTATTTAAAAAAAAAAAAGCTGAGATTCCACCTCAACCCAGAAAGAATGGCTGCTATCATGAAATCAACTAATAACAAATGTTGGAGGAGCTGGGGGGAGAAAGGAACCCTTCTTGATTGTTGGTGGGAGTGCAGACTGGTGCAACCACTGTGGAAATCAGCATGGAGATACTTCAAACAACTAGGATTAGAGCTATTCCTCTGCTGGGTATTTTCCCAAAATAATTAAAAGAATCATAGGACAGTGATATGTATGCACCCATGTTTATAGCAGCACAGTTTGTAATAGCTAAAACTTGGAAACAGCCCAAATGCCCATCAACTGGAGACTGGATAAAGATGTGTTTTTTAAAAATTAAATGGAGTACTACTCAGCCATAAAGAAGGGAAACTAGAGACATTTATAGCTAAATGGATGCACACTGAGGCCATACTCTTAAGTGAAATAAATAGGACACGCATGTGTGAATACCAAATAGTTTTTCTGGTGTGAAAAACTAACAGTGTAAATAAGGGTCAAAATGTATAACTAATATTGTGACATAGGAAGAAAATGTCTAAAGGAGTAGGGGAAGTGGGAGGGGTAGAGGAAAGGAAAGAAGGAAAAAGAAGAAATATGTGAAAAGGAAAAACATGGAAATAAAGTCTTTGTCAATAGGGAAGGGTGGAGGGGGTGAAAGGGCAGAGGAATGGGGAAAAAATAAGAACCAAGGTACATCATGTAAAGGTACAAGATACCAATGATGAATGTAACTGTATTGTATACCTAAAATGTACTAATAAACTTAATGGGGAACAAAGGACATGGGTCTTAAAAGGCCAAAAAAAAAAAAAAAAGAAAGAAAGAAAGAAGAAAGAAGACGGAGGAGGGGGAGAGGGGGAGGGGGAGAAGGGGGAGGAGGAGGAAGAAGAAGAAGAAGAAATAGCATGTGTTAGCGAAGTGATATGGAAGTCTGAGAGAAACACGGTTTGATCCCACCACCACTTCAGGTGAATCATTTAACCCAAGTATTCGTTTTTTCACTTGTAAATTAAAATAATAAAATTTACTTCAGGGATCACTAATGTAAGTGATCAGGATCAGTTAAACTCTATTTTAATATTGTCTCTTGCTGGTTACCAAATAGCTTTTGCCTCCTGAGAAGATGAGGAATACTCAAGAGCCACAAAACTGTTGGTTAGAAAGCCATGTTACACTAATTTCAACTAATGGTTTAATTATGTCCTTTTAATTGGATTTGTCAATGTTTCTGGATAAAAGCATAATCAGAGGCTTAGGGAAGTATAGTTTTTCCATTGAAATTAATGGGAAATCACGAGAAATCCCACAATTTACCATTTAAAGCAGGTTAAGTATATATTAAAAAGTTTTAAATGCATATGTACCTTTCCATGGCTATATTTTTATTTTATTTTTATTTTACTAAGAAACTAATACTGGGGATTAAACGCTTCACCTGAAGTGGTAGTGGAATAAAACCTTGTCCTTTCTCTCAAACTTCCACCATGAGTTCTCTAACATATGCTGTTTCTCTGAATAAATAAACAATAACTTAACTTTGGAAAAATTCAGATGCAAAGATCCAATCTTACAGCCTTACTTGCCTACATTAGATGAGTATACTACTGTTAGAAATATGGGGGAAGAGATGGTCTTTAATGAAAAGACATGGCTCAAAAATCAATATTCTACACATTAATAGCCATTTCTGCCAGAATAGATCCAACCGAAGTACAAGAAGCCATATTTTTTGTTTCAAATTCCTGGATCAAATTGGTGGCTTTAACATATTATGGATTAATAACTAACAAATAGTACCTTGCCATATTTAGGTATTTCAAGATTCATTAATAATCCCAAACCTGAAGGTATATAATGTCATCTCTGGGGCTCAATTGAGTGCAGACAGAGGAAAATGAAAATTAACCATTACTGCTGTTTTTTCAAGTAACAAAAATAAAGCCAATTTTAAACAAGCCTGATCTGCACTTTTCTATAGAAGAGCTGCAGCAGTCCACATTTCTAAACTTCCACATCTTTCTTTGTTTTGCTTTTTT